CCGTCGCCCTCCGCCGCGCCGTCCGCGCTGGCGGCGGCGGCGGCGGCGGCGGCCGCAGCGGCGGCGCGCGCCAGCTCGCCCGCTGGGGCGCCTGCGGGCGGCGCCGGCAGGCTGAGGTCCCAGGCCCAGTGCTGGGGCGCCCCAGCGGGCGGTGGGGGCAGCACCTCGGGCGCATCCCCCACATCCTCCGGCCGCGGCCGCATCGAAAACGGCACCGACGTGTAAGCAGACACGACGTGCGACAGCTGCACGCCGCTGAGTCGGCCCGCCTTGGCCGCCAGGGGCCCCTCCAGCATGCGCAGCACGCCGGCCGGCGGCGGCTGCAGCAGCGACAGGCGGCCGGCGAAGCCAGCGAGCTGGCCGGCGCGCGCCGCCGGCAGGCGGGCGACGAGGGCGTCACACACGGCGGGGTAGAACTCCCCCCCCAGGAGCGACGCGTCCACCAGGCCGCATATGTTCATGGACATCACATCCAGCAGCAGCGCCCGCAAGCTCAGCACCGGGAGCTGCTGCGAGCGCAGCGCGTGCTCCGCGAACGCGAGCGCCAGCGCGGGCGCGGCCTCGGGCAAGACCGCCGCGGTGGCGCGGACGATCGCCGACGAGCGCTGCGGCCACACCTGCAGGGACATGGCGACGCCCGAACGCTCGAGCGGCTCTGTGGCGCGCAGTTGGCACCGCTCCTGCTCGCGCTGCATCAGCCGTTGGGCTGCCGCCGCGACCGCAGAGATCGCCGCCCGCGCCGCGGCGTGGCTCTGGGGCGCCGCCGCGGCGCCGCCCTTAGCAGCGGCGGCGGCGGCGGTTGTCAGCGCGGCCGCCAGCTCGTCCTCTCGCGCCTGCTCCTCGTCGTTGTGCCCGGCCGCGTCAAAGCCGCCGCCGCCGTCGAGGCTCTCGCCCGTGGCGTCCGTGTCCACCGCCGAGCCTGCCACCGCCAGGTCAGCCGCCTTTACGCCTAAGGGCAGGCAGCCGACCGCGAGCTGCGAGAGGTGCTGCCAGGACACGTTCCAGGGGCGCGGCGCCAGGTGGCTCGTGCTGCCGTAGTGCTTGGCGGCGTCGACGACCTGCGGCAGCGCCATCTGGATCAGCTCCGGGTCGGAGATGCCCGCCAGCCGCAGCGACGCGAGCAGCGCCGCCAGCTGCCACGACAGCAGCTCCGGCAGCAGGTTCTTGACCGCGCGCGGCAGCACCGCGCGCAGGCGCTCAATGGCGCGTGCGCCGGAGGGGCCGTGCAGGCCCTGCAAGTCGGCCAGCTGCTGCCGCCACTGGGCCTCGACGCCGCGCTGCCGCCTGACATGATGCTGCGCGTACGCAAAGGTCATGGGCACCAGGTCACGGGCCATCAGGAACGGCGCCGTGTCCGCGGCGCGGGTGGCCAGCGCCTGAGGGGGGGATGGTCAAGGGACAGCATGCCAGGGGGGGGGGGTGGAGCCGGAGGGAAACGCACTGTTGCTACCTGCTATCAACAGGGGGACGGAGAAGCCGGCGCAGCCACGAGCGGCTGCCGCGTGCATCTGAAAAGAACCGACGTCGACAGAAGGCACGGGGCCCCTAGCCAAATGCCTGCCGGCCCGCGGCTGCATCAGCAATCTCCATCGGGCGGAGCTGCGTAACGGGCTGCCCAGGCGCGCGACCAGGCGTCCCGGGGGCCGCATAGACCGCATTCGCTGCTGGCAAGCGGCTTTGGCGCCCGCGCGCACGCCCGACCGCACGCGCCTCGCACCTCTGCGAGCCGCCCGTCCTGATCCTGGTGCGCGCGGCCGAACGACCACAGCATGGTGCCCAAGCCGCGCTCCATCGACGGCGCCAGCCGCACCGCCGCAATCGCCAGCAGCTGCCACAACCGGCGGTAGATGGCGTCCCGCTGCTCTGTGTCTGTAGGGTCCGAGGGCCCCGCCGCTGCATCGCCGCCGCCGCCGCCGCGCTTTGGGCCGTCGGCCTCTGCCACCAGGGCCTCTGTGTAGGCGGCGGCGGGCTCGGGGACGCCGTTGGGCAGCTTCACCAACGCCCAGGCTATGAGAACGGCCTCCATCCCCTCGGCCTTTTCGAGATATGGCGCATGGCCAAGGGCGGGGTGTGCATGGCCGGGAAGGGTCGGGATGTGGCCGCACAACAGTGCACGATGCAGCATGCAAAGCAGCACTGGACCCTGAGGCGGACGTGTACATAACAGGGCGCGCCCGGGATGACCGCAGCCAGAGCCGCGGGCCCGCACGCCAAAAGGGGCGAGAGGCGGCCCGCCCAGCACCCACCGCCTCCATCCGCCTGCCATCGCCGGCCACCAGCAGCTTGCACAGCTGCAGGGACAGGTCCTCAGAATCCTGCGGCGCCAGCAGCGCCAGCGTGCGCAGCCCAGTGGTGATCTGGCGGGCCGACACGGTAGCAGGGAACCTGCAAAGAGTGAGGGCGTGAGGGGCGCAGCCGCGTCACCAGCGGCGGCTGCGGCGGTGGCAGCTGCACTGGACTGCAATTGATGCCTACAGATTCAAATGGCCGCGGGAGTACTTCAGCTGGCGTGCAGCCAAGCACCACATGAGGAGCGGGTGCGCGGACCGTCCAGTCTGCTTCGCCGTGCGCCGCCCACCCAGCACGCAGCGCCCAGCCCCACCCCGCACCTGAGCAGTGCGCTGCACAGCCCCGACAGCAGCCGCTGCGCCTGTGCGAGCTCCCGCTTCCGCGCCGGCCCCTCCCTCGGCCGCCCAACGCTCTGGTCCGCGCCCGTCTCCGCGCCCATGAGCGACGCCAGGCGCGCGATGCTGGCCGCCACGTGGTCGTGGTTGAAGTCGCGCGCGTTGCGGATGATCACGCCTTCCAGCGCCTCCAGGCTGGGGGCCGCAAATATCTCCGGCATGAGCGCGTCGATGGTGCGCGTCTGCGCCCTTTCATGGGACCACTCCCGCCCTCGTCCGCGCCAGCGGGCGCCGTCGCCGTCCCGCCAGCGGGTGCCGTCGCCATCGCGATAACGGGCGCCGTCGCCTTCGCGATAGCGGGCGACGTCGCCGTCGCGATAGCGGCCGCCGTCGCCGTCGCGATAGCGGCCGCCATCGCCTTCGCGATAGCTGCGGCTGGGGCGGGCCTGGCGGGCATCGCCGTCGCCGGGGCCCTGCGTCCAAGCGGCAGGGGCCTTGCTGCCGAAAGGGGGTGTGGCCCAGCTGGCCTTGGCTTGCGGCTGCGCCGGTCTGTCGCTGCGGGTGCGCACATCCTCCCAATTTTCCACAGCGGAGCCATCAATGGCATAAGCGCGGGTGCAAGAAGCCTGCGCACAGGCGTCGCAGCAGAGCAGCGTTGGCGTGGCAACTGATGCAGCGGCACAGCTGCAGTCATGCACCACCAGCCAACCAGGGAGTGACATGCATGTACAAAGTTTGACAAGCTCACACGCTGGCAACAGTAAGGTACGCTTGACAGCGAGAACGCGATCACACCTGCACAGGCGATCCAGGATCAGAAGGCCGCCCCCCACCATCCAAGGCTTGCAGAAGCCATGCACTACATCTAAAGGTGGCTTCGCGGCCAGAGCGCCCGGCCACCACCCTCTGGAGGAGTGCCGGCTGCATTTCAGGCCCCCCTTTATTCAGGTGCGGTGTGCATCAATGGCCCGTATCATGCTGTTAGACTTTGTGTGTACCAATCAATGTAGTGGCGCACATCTTGATGATCAAACTGTGATTTTCTACAGTCTCAGATTTCGTCAGAGTGCCCAGGTTGTAGCCGCGGCCTGGTGTGCTTCCTGTGCAAATGCAGCGCAGATCTGCGTGCTTCGCCCCAACGGCACATGTGCTGTCGAGCCTGCCGGTGGAGCAGGTGGCAGGCGAAGTCGCCGACGAGGTGGGGAGCGCGCCCGACGCCGCACACGCCAAACTCAAACCGGCGATTTGCGATTGGGATGCCACACGAACTACAGGATATGTTACAGGAGGAATGATGCCAGCCATCTGCTGCCACATCTAGCCGCCTCGCCACACCGACACACCGACACACACCACCTGCCTTCGCCCCTGCATGTAAGCGCAGCTGGTGTGCTCCATATGCTGCGGCCTGGTTCCCTACGATGGCGCCTCCCAGACGCCCTGCCACCACCTGTTCTGCTCGGTCTGCATCAACACGTGGCTTGACCGCGGTGGCCGGCAGGCGTGCCCCGACTGCCAAGCCCCGACGCAGCGGCACAGCCTGAGACGGCTGCGGGACGCGAGCCCGCTGCTGCACCGTCTGCTGGGCAAGGTCAAGGTGGGGGTTTCGACGTGGGAGCAGAGAGTGGCAGCGGATCCTTATGCTGGGTTTGATGCACTGATAAGGGCAGAGGCAGCGCCACGAAACTAATGCAAGGGCTGATGCTGATGGCAGGCGCGCTGTTTACACCTCCAGATTCTGCTTGGCCTCACAACTTGCTTGCGTCAAGTTCCACCCCGCTTGGACGCACCCGTGCATACCGTCCACTGTGCTTTGGACTTGCCTGCTGCTTGCTCCTACTCCCACCAGGTGACATGCAAGCACGAGGATTGCCCTTGGCGTGGCGAATACAGCTCCCTGGTGTCGCACGAGTCCGCCTGCCGCGCAGGCAGCTACACCTGCCCCGATTGCAGCGCGTCAATGCCCACGTCGCAACGCGACGGCCATGCGCTGCCCTGCCTGAGGGAGCGGCTGCAGAAGCTGCAGGCAGAGAAGGCGGAGTGGGCAGAGGCGAGGAGCCGGTGGCAGACGGAGAAGCTGGTTTTGCAGCACCGGGTGGAGGAGGTGAGGCGTGTGCGGGGCGTGTTCAGCGAACAGGTCAGCGGTGAAGCAAGCAGGGCATGCGCTTTAGCTGATGTGGGTATGGTTGTCATGTAGGGCTGAGAAGTGTTGCAGATTAGCAGTGCATTGCTTCGTGCCATACTGCACGCTTGGTAACAGTTGTTGGCTGTTTGCTTGCCCTTCCCACGCAGCTGGTCGACGAGGTGGAGGAACAGCGGCAAAATTACTTTGTGCCGCAGAGCGTGGTGCCCACACAGCAGCGGGCGGGGCGCTACGGCCCCCACGATCTGCGGGGCCTGGCGCGCCTGCTGGGCGCCTGCGTCGGCGACCAGCCGCCGAGCGGTGTTCCCCGAGAGGAGGTCTTCAACGCCATAGCCGCCTGTGTGCGCGAGAAGGAGAGGTGCGTGGATTGAGCCAGGCTGCGGTTACTCATACGTGGGTGTCGCTGATGTCGGTCCATCTTGGGCGGATAAAGTCGTCTTTTTGAGCCAGAGGCTGCACATGCGCCTGTTGTTGGGCGGGGGTGCACCATGGCTTTGGCCCGCTGCTTCAACAGGATGCCATGGCAAGTGACCACTGCACCCCTTTTGCGCATGCCTCCCTTGAACCCCGCACAGGTACTCTTACGATGACCAGGACTCGGCGCTGCTGCTGCTGATCTTGTTGGCCGCCGATGCTTGCACGTGGCTGAGCGCCAAGCAGCAGGACAGGATCAACACATGGCTGCGCGATTGGGGGGGGCGTCTGATTGACGCGCGAGTGATGTACCAGGAGAGTTAGGGATAAGCGTATCCTTCGCGTGCAGGATGATGTATTGATACGGTCTGAACATTGCACTGATAATCAAGAGGGAATTGATTTTGTTTCGTGAATCGGCCGGGCGTCGCACTGGCCGGACCACCCTCATCACCGCATGCAGTATTGTTGCGCAAATCCGCGAAAGCCTGGAGGACATGTCTCCAATGTACCCCGCCCATTGGCCATGCCAGAGGTGCATCCTAACTCCGCCGTGGCAACAGCGAAACCGCACACTGTAACATCGTCTGCACAGCTGCAGGACATGAGCAGTCGCCTTGAGAAATGTTGTAGCTCAACCACGCCAGCTTTGTAGGAACTAGAGGTGGTTTTGGCAGGGCTCTGGCAGGTGCGGCAATGTCAAGGCAGGTGATGCGCTGCTAACGGCCTGGTGCGGCACACGGCACAACTTGAGGCCGCTTGTCCTCCCGCAGCCGAGGGCTTGCTGCGCGGGATGACGATACGCTCACGTGCGTTTGATGAGTGAACATGGTATAGCTAGGAAGCTGCCCCTATCAAGGGCAGGTGAGCTCACACATCGCTTTATAAATGACTGTTGTGCATGCCTCGTTGAAGCAAGCGCCTCAGAACGCAGGTTCTGGCACAATGCAAGTAGAAGTACCGTTGGCAGGATACACCATATCAGAATTTTTGCACATATCGGGCCTTACAGCAAACGCGAGGGCCCGTCCAAGGCACAGAAGCATCACAGGTTATTCCTGCCTGCCTGGGCAGAGCGTGCCCGTTTTCTGCGTCCCCAATCCCCCTGGCACCGGGCAGGCACCAATCAAATGCACTGGAAGGGCACCATGTCTCAGAATCCTGTGGCCCAGCGTCGCAGTGCCAGGGTGTGCAGCTGTGTTCGGACGGATTGAGGGGTAACAAACACGCTCCAGAAAGGTCGTGTTGCTCCCGCTGGTGGTACCTCCACTTTTGTCCATGGCGGGCTGACTTGTGTTGACTCAGTAACAAAGCCAGTACAGTACTATAAATACGGCCCGCAGCAGCTGCCACTCACTCTGCATTTTTTTCCCGGCACGATTGGTGCATTTGATGTGATATGCTTCAATTTCTAGCTTGCAACAACCGAGCACGCATATCATGCATCGGCTGCCAGATCATATGACACCCCGCCGAGTGCGTGTACAAACATACGGTTGAGATCTAAATAGCACAGCAAAATCTATAGCTTTTTGGACACATTGTATGCGATCTGCTGACCGGCGGGAATGAATAATAGCGAGCTCTTGTTGGCCAATAGGCACCGCCATGAGCAGGTAAGAGTAATCTCACAGCTGAAATCGGCGATGCCCTGTACTGTCGTCCTGCTCAAGTCGGCGATGCCCTGTACTGTCGCGCTGGCTGTGCTGGCGGTGCTTTGGGTGGTCGCGCGCCGCAGCCTGAGACGTGCCGAGTGCGGCATCACTGCATGCGCTTGCTGCGCCTGGCGCAGGCGCTTGATGCAGCGCTCCAGCGTGCGCCGCTGCTGCGGCGACAGATTGAGAATGCGAGCTTGCTGTCTGGCAACTCGAACAAGGACCTGTTGGGTAAGCAGGATTAGCATGGGGTTGTGTCGGCAAATGCCTGTTGTGCAGCGTCAAACCGTCGAAGAGTGGGCGCCCAGACTAACACCCCTCTGAACATGTCAGACGTCATGCAACGCACTGCGTACACAGTGGTGTTTGACGGACATTGACTGCTTGAAGGAGTCTGGCTTGGCCCCCCTGTTCACCACCCTCTGCAGTCCACAAATTACGCCCTGCCGTGCCTCCCTACCTCCAGCCATCCATCTGCTTATGGCACCCGACAGCCGCCCAGCTTCGGGGCAACAGAGCAGCCCCCTAACTGGTGACGAAGCCGGGCGCCAGCCCGAGCAACACCAGGCGCTGCAGCAACAGCCGCAGCAGCAGCAGCAGCAGCAGCAGCAGCAGCAACAGCAGCACCAGTTGCAGGCGCAGCAGGGTAGGCTTGCAAACCAGCTGCTGGAGCAGGCCAAGCTGCAGCATACGCTGGTGAGGGTGGAAGCTCCAGAGCGGCAGCGGTCCGTACTGCTAGGCCGACAGCCTTGCGGGTGTTGTGGTATCGATCGCAACGAGCTCTCAAGCGCAGAAACATGAAGATTGTCACGAGTGCACGCGACCACCGTCGGATCGCCTGCAACTGAGCACTTGCACCCCAATGCACTCTTGGCGCTTTCAGGCCCTGGACAACAGGCTGCACGACCTGCAATCCAGTCGCGAAGCGCTGCGCGTGGCGGCGGCTGCGCTGGACAAGTCGGAGCACGACCTCTACAATAAGTGCGCAGCCTGCTGCTCGCTTGCCTGCTGCATAATTAAACTTGTTCAGCCCCTGAAAACCCGCTGCATGGGAAGCAGACTCCTGAGGCACGTGCCTGAGCAATCTGTCAACTGTTTGCCTGTGCTGCACGCTTGCGAACTGTGCTCACGCCATACAAGGGGCAAAAACCGGGGCCTGTCTCTTGCGGATGCCATCAAGGATGACGCGCGGCTGGCGCACCTGGGAGAGGACGAGATCTTGCGGGAGTTCAGGGAGAGGGTGGGTGGCGGGCAGTTTGACCGGACGGGACGGAACTGTTGACTTTTGGGGGCATCCACGCATACGGCGGGGTGACGGTGCTGTCGTTTTGCAAAGCGCGTTGTTGTTACAGGCAGCATGCACGGCGCGCTTGGGCGGGCACCCACATGTTGCGGGGCATATGTGCAGCGAGGTCTGGCGGCCAGGAACTGGCTCCTCTGATCGTGCCCACGCAGAGTGCGGCCGCCGCGCAGCGGCAACAACAGCTGCAGCAGTCACTTGCGCGGGCTGCCAGTGGCGGGCAGCAGCGGCACGGCAGCAGACGTGCCGCGCAGAAGAATGCGGCTGCTGCAGTCCCTACGGGCCGGCAGGGTGACGGCGGCGAGCGACTCGAAGCCCCGGCAGAGGAGGCGGGGAGTGACGCGCCACAGGACCAGCTGGTGGACGGCAGCGAGGTTGAGCAGAGCGAGAGCAGGTCGGTGGTGAATGCGTTGGGACAGCAGCCGGGCCCTGATAATGTTGACTCCGCCCGTCGAAGAAGTAACCTGTACCAAGGCGCCACCCTTGATGACGTGGCCGAGGCAGCAAAAATGGCGCTGCCACTTCAGCAGGTGCGGAGGCGATAAGGGGGAGGCGGGGAGCTGTGAACAGGACGTAGTTGTTGGCCTCCTCCTGCCTACGTCTGCGTGTTTGCGTATGCGAATAAGCGTACGTGCATGCACTCACACACCTACCATAGGTGTGCGACACGCGCGCGCGCGCACACACACACACACATCCACACACACACACACACACACACACACACACGCACACACACACACACATGCACTCACACACACACACACACAACCGGATTCTCGCTCACGCGCACTTTGGTCGCACGCACCAGGCACATCTAGCGGGCCTGAAAAGGGCCCATGCCGTTGCCGCCAAGCGCCTGGAATGGCAGCAGCGGCGGCCTGCCACATACGCCGGCGACATGGCCATGACCGCTCACCAGCGCTCCCTCAAGGGCGCCATGCAGGTGTGTCTCTGGTCATGCTAGTGCACTTGACGCGTCGGGAGCCGGCGCCCTGCAGCCAGCGTTGCGAGGGCGACGACAAGGAAAGCACAGGCGCTTTCGTTCACGCGCCGCTCATCCTGAACCTCTGCCTCGGCATTCCCGCCCAGGCTGTTGTCCATGAACTGATCGAAAAAGCCATGCATCACGTGGCAATGAGGCCAACACGAGAGCAGGTTGGGGGCAAAAAAGGACTCCAGCAGACAGCCGAACGTCCTCGTCGTGTGTGCACATTGCAGGGGGACCCCACTGCGCCACACATCTGTTCGCAGCCGCTGTCTGGTCTGCTATGCATCCAGCAGTGCAGCGGTGTCTGCAGTTTGACACGATGATGGGCCATGCAGGTGGCGCGGGAGGTGGCGGAGTGGCGCGCCGGCCATCATGAGGCCCTGATGCAGATCTCAAGGCACTTGGGCGAGAGGTGTGTGGCGCTTCTGCGTGAGGAAGCTGCATGACCCACGTTGTTGGTGGTGGCTGCTGCGGGGGCTGCGGCTGCCTCTTGACACCTCTCACCTTGCGAGGAGTGCTTCTTGTACCGAGTCTACTTAGTTATACTTCCCCAAACAAATGGCATGCTGCTGCACATTCCACTTGTTTGCTATGATCTGGATTGCATCAGCATTCTGTCCGAGGTTGTAGACGAGCTCGTGCTTGAAGTTGCATCCGAGGTCGACGGTCAGGAGGGTCGGGGCGACGCATTTGCATTCGACCTGCTGGTGGCGGCGGTGGCCTTCAGCCAGGGAGAATACGAGGTTGGCTCGCAGGTGTGTGGGCGCCGCATGATGTTGCTTAAATTGAATCCCTTGGGGTATTAATGCAGCATGCTGCTTGACAGACACTTGAGCTCGCTTAAAGCCACAGGATCAGCCCCGCACTAGTTCAACAACACAGAGCCTGGCGGCTCGTGACGCTGGATGGCACTTTGATGGCACGCAGCGCCTAAGCAGAATCAATTCATCTCGAAGTGGACCTGTCTGTTGCCATCAACCCACCGTCCTCTTCCTGCAAACCCCGTGCGCACAGACCAGGGGCCCGCGCATCGGCCGCATGGCGAACGAGGCGGCCCTGGTGCTCAAGGCGGCCGTCAGCCATGCAGGGCGCTCCGACATTCTGAAGCAGCGCGGGGACGACGCGACACAGGGCGGCACTGTCCAGGTCAGCGAGGGCCGTGCGGGGGGGGGGCTGCCTTTTCTGACTTTGGTGTAGGACAAGATGTGACAAGATGTTACGGATGTGTATGTCGTGGTTGAGCGGGCGTGTTGGTCACACCAAACTCAACAGTCAGCCTGTGCATGCCAGCACATTCTCGCTGCTACACGTCAGTTTGATTTGCAATGTTCCCCTTCCTTCCTCCTTTGTCCCATGGACCAACGTTGCGCGCACCACCTGCCTCCCACCCTTAACGCGCAGCTGCCACCCCTGCAGCGCTCCACTGCCGCTGGTCCAGTAAAGGACGGCGCTGCCGCCGGCCGACGCCGCCCGGGCGACCGCGACGACCGCGAGGACGCCCACCAGCTTCGGCGCAGCTTCCAGAAGGTTTGACACATAACGTTGCCGCACACAGCTCAAAAGACCAGGCTGTTACGATTGTGGCACGCAGAGAGGGAGAACGAGATACCATGGCGTCTCACCCCGCCCCCTGGGGGTCTCATACAGTGTGACTAGAGTCCTGGCAGGTGCGTGGCGCAGGTCCTGGATTGTTTGTGCCACGACCCCCATCCCTCGCTCCCGCCGTGCAGGGCCCGTCGTCATCCTCGTCCTCTGGCCCAAGCGCTGACAGGGGCCTCTACCTGTCAGGCCTCAAGGCGATGCTGTCAGAGATGCGCATGCGGCGGCCGCCCGACACGCCGTTTGGGCACACGCAGCAGCTGCAGGCGCAGTTCAGTGCCGGCGCCAAGGTCGCAAAGGTGCGGCGAGCTGGAGGGCGCCCGCGGGCTGCTGGTGGGGTCAGACTGCCTGTTTATCGATGGTGTGTGCTGTGGGAGCGTTGGGACGGTTGATGCACCTCATGACTTGTGTGACGCTGGCTTTGACTTTAGGTGATGATGACACTTTGGCCCCCCGTTTCACCCTCGTATGGCCCCAGGCCCAGCGCCTGGCCGTTGGCCGCGCGCGCGCGCCCCTGGCAGCCGCCCCCTCCGTCTGGGCTCGCCGCCACGAGGCCGTCTCCCGCCTCGACCACGCTCCCTGGCCGCACGCCGCGCACGCGGCCGCAGCCGCGACCGAGCGCACCTTCTGGTCGCGCCTCTCTCTGCGACCGATGATGCAGCCCGGGGGCGCCAAGGGCGCGGCCGCGGCGGCGTCAGGCGCGGCGCCGGTCCGCGGGCTCGAGTTGCCACGCGACCATGGGTGCGTGACGGCAATCTCCACGTCGCCGTCTGGGGTGTTTCTTGCGGCGGGGACGTCACTGGGGACTGTGCTGGTGTGGGACGTGAGGGAGGACCGGCCTAGGGCGGCCTGGTTCCAGGTGGGGGCGAGCGAGCACCACACAGCTGCAGCTGCGGGCTGCGGCCCGCTCGACGCAGAAGGGGTGCCGGCAGAGAGGGCTTGCGGTTGACGCCACCTTTGAGGCGTGAGGGTGCCAGGCTGCATCGACGGGAGTTGCCACGGCCGCGCGGGCGTCCACCGGTGGTGGCATTGATTCCAAGTCTGCGCCGCAGCGCGCCCGCGACACATCTTACCCGACCCCCACAGGCGCAGGCTGATGGGCTAGCCCCTAAGCCCGGGGGTTGGGGCCTCTTCCAAGGGCCCGCGCCACAGCAGGGCGCCGCCGTGACAGGCAAGCTTTCACCGCTTTGTGAAAGGCCCGGTTTTGAGTGACGACTAGGCTGGGACGTTCTGATGAGCCATTAGCACGTTTCACCGAGTGTGTCTATGTGCCCATCCGCACCCCTGAATTGCACGTCATCTCACAACTGCGCGCAACCCCTGCGGCCATGGCCCCGCAAGCAGGCTTTGCCTGGAGCGCTGACAGCTACCAGCTGCTGGCATACGACGCCGACAGCAGCGCGCGCATGTGGTGGATGCGCCCCGCCAGAGGTGGGCACTTGCAACGGCCCACGCAGGCAGGAGACACGGCTCTTCTCCGCGCCCGGGTGTTCAGCTGGGCGTCGCTGGCAGATGCTGCCTCGCGACCGCAGGCGCCTGCAGACCACCCATTTCAAGGGTCGGCAGGTGTTGGCAGCGCCAGCACAGCAACCGAGCAGCGGGTGCAAGCCTTCTCAAATACCAGTACATGGGGCACCAGTTGCCCCCAACCACCAAACCACCAAAGTCAGCTCCTAGCCTTCAACCCCCCGCAACCTGGTCACCCTCGAGGCCTCCAAGCACACGCATGCACCGTACCTCCATGCAACTCCCAGGCCAAGATGTGGCCGAGCTGGAGCGCAAGGGCTGCCCAATGCTGCCGGAGCTGGCGGCGCTCGTGACGCCACGCATGGTGGCAAACTCAGGTGCCCCGGCTCAGGGCTGCCGTCCACCTAGGGCGCCATGTTGGAGGTGCACCCCTGCATGCATGACGCCTTTGAAAGGGAACACGCTTTGGTGCCTGTTGTCTGACCTGAGGCAATCGCCTCGTGCAACCATCTGCATTGCACACATCCCCAAGGCAAGGCCCCCATCGAAGACGAGTCCGACGCTCTGGCGGCAGCGGCGCTCGCCGTTGAGGCCGCGGCGGAGGGGGCGGCCGCCGAGGTGGGCGCCGCGCCTGCCGCTGGGGCGGCGGCTGGCCAGGGGCGCGAGCAGCGGCACCTCAGGCGGCAGTGGCGGCCGGCCTTCCACCCGGCATTTACGCTCACCGGCACGCAGCCGCAGTTCATGCTGCCGCAGGTGCGCTCGGTCTTGCCCACTTGCGTGATGTGTATGGCAAATCCTTTTCCGAACGCCACAGTACTGTGTGCATCACCAGTCACTATGCACACAGCATGCTGCAACCTGCACCACTTTTGCCTCAGTCAATCACCTGCCTCCCCACCTGTGCACCTGCTTCTCCGCAATTACTTACCCTGAAGGTGACGGGGGACGTGCTTCGAGTCACCACGCGCATCGGTGCCCCCGTGCTGCCCGGCTTTGGACCCTCACCAGCCGCGCAGAACGCAGCCGCGTCCGAAGCGGCGCGGCGAGGAGGCGGGGCGGCCGCGCGGCGGAGGCAGCTGTCGCAGGCGGCGGTTGACTACTTGATGCCCGCACAGGCGCCCAACCCTGACATCGCCTCCCAGGTGGGGCCCGGAGGCTGATGACCGTCCGTTGCACATGCACCAAACCAGTCCGCTTGCAGGAGGGGCTTTTGCTGCTTGTTTCTATGGCCGCGCGCCACCCTCGGCGCTGTGGTGGACGCACGGGCGGAATTGAAGCCCAGAGAGTCTAGCATTGCCAGAGGGCTCCCAGGTACATGCCTGACATCAAGCAAGTTTGACTGCTCGTCAGCAGCCCAAGCCAGCAGTCCTGCCGGCTGGCAGCCATCCGATTGCGCCAATCTGGACTGTGGTGGTCTGCCAAACTCGGCTCTGCCTCTTAGGCCGTATACCGCCGCCACGACGCCCACGTCGTGCTGGTGGCCTTCCTGTCGGACGCGGCCACCATGCTGACAGTAGACCAGCGCGGCCTCGTGGCGCTGTGGCCCGCCAGCGACGCCGATCGCAGCGGTGGGGCGGCGGGCGTCGCCGGCGGCTGCGCCGCACCCGCCCTCCCTCTGACGCACACCCGACGCCGCGTGCGCCCCTGCGCCTGCTTGGGTGCACCGGCGTGTACTGGAGCACCTCCAGGGCAGCACATGCATTATGGGCGTTCGAACATGGTGCGGCTTCCACCTGCACTGACTGCTGCTCAACCTTTACGCTCCTGCCTGCCCCAGGCTTTGGGTGGTTCAAGCCCAAGAAGTGCTTCCAGCTGCCCCCCAGCATGCGCACGTGCCACGCGAGGTGGGCGTCGCCACCGGGACCGAGACACAGCTGCGAGAGACTTGGGTGCACTGCGCGTCCCACCAACGGTCAGCCGTGGGCCAGCGGATGCAATCCATTAACTTTTTTACTAGTCGTGGGCACACATTCATTGCTCGCTCCTTTGTAGCAACACGGCAAAACCCGGCCCCATTCACTCAAACGCGCCAGGGGCGCGCCGCAGACCGTGTGGCCCCTGCCCAGCGGCCGCCCCGGCGCGTCGCCCGGCATCTCAAACCCCATCGAGCGCGCGCGCCGCGACGCGGCCGGCGCCGGCGCCGGCGGCGGGGTGTTTGGCCGCCGGCCGTCTGCGGCAGCAGAGCCGCAGGCGCGCATCCCTTATGAACCCGATGCAGAGGATGCGCCGCCGGGTGTCGATGGCGTGGCCGCTCGGCGCGGCGCGGCGGGCGACGCGACGGGCGGGGCGCTGCTGGAGTCGCGCGCCCCCTGGATCGTCCGCTACCGCACCACCAGCGCCGCTGCGGTCGCGGCGGCGCAGGCGGCCGGCGGGGCAGGGGCCGCGCGGCCGGCCGTGGCGGGGGCGGCGGGGGCGGCGGTGGTGGTGCGGGAGGTGCTGCACCGGCCGCCGGAGGGCGCGGTGGCCGGCGCCCCGGCGCGCGCGCTGGTGGTGTCGACCTACTCGGCCGCCACTGGGGAGCTGCTGGCGCGCAGCAAGCAGCGGTGTGGGGCGGCGCGGCAGCCGTTCAAGGTGGGCGCACGGGGCATGGGTGCGATGGTTACCAGGCGCGCGGGCGTCCGGCAGCCCGTGAGCAAGGCTCGAGCGTGCGCTGCCGTGCCCTACGCACAGGGTTGAGCACAGACAAATGGCAGGGACTCGGCAAGGTCACATTCCGATGCTGCTGTTGCAACGTTTCCGTGGGACAGCAGTGTCCAGGTGCTCAGCACAAAGCGTCCTGGTCCTGTACGCAGGTGGTGGCTGCTGAGCTGGCGCCGTCCCAGCGCGACCTGCTGCTGTTTTGCCACGTGGCGGGGCGCGACGACGACCCGGACAGCTTCCCCACTTTCAGCGTCATGGTGGGCGGCGCAGGCCAGGGTGCTCGGTGGGGCATGCGCATGCCTCGGCCCTGAGTCACGGTGTCCCCGGTCCTGCAGTTGCACACGCATGTGACCCTTCCCTCTCTAACCGCACCTGCCGTAATGCTCCTCGGTCCAACCTCAAATCTCACCCCAACTCCCTCTCAAAACGGCATGAGCAGGTCCTGAACCTTGCCGCCATGCGCTGCCTCGTGCCGCGCATCGACGCGCCCGACCCCTCGTACGGCACCGCCGCCCCCGCCTACGCCCTGACGCCGGCGCTGCCCAGCCTCGGCAGCGAGTACCTGCTCCTTGGCCTGGGCGCCGGCATGCTGGGCGCATTCAGCCTGGCCACAGGGCAGCTGGTGGCCGAGCTCTTCCCCGGCATCCCGCACCGCGCCTGGGGCGACCTGGAGGTGTTCGCGAGCGGCGTTGTTGCGGCGGCCCGCGAGGACGGGGCCGGGCGGCCCGCGGACGCGGGGGCGGGGACGGTCGCGCTGCCGGGGTTTGCGTTGGGGCACTACGCGTCGCTGGCCCTGGCGCGGTTCGGGAGCGCGGTGGCGGCGTGCGGCGACTCGGGGCGCACGCTGCTGGTGGCGGCTCCGGCGGGCGGCAAGGGGGTGTATGTCTTTGAGCTGGACATGGCGGCGGCGCGGATGGCGGCGGAAGAGGCGGCGGCGGCGGCGCGACGGGGCGCAGCTGCAGCTGCAGTCCAGCAG